GACTCTCATTAGCAACTAGGGCCTTAGTAGTGTATGGGCCGTAGTGGGTGGTCAGTAGTTTCGTTTAGAAGTAATCACGGATGTGTTCATTTGCCTAACGTCAAACTACAAAATCCACTTCTCTTTACAAATCGATTGGTCCATCAGCCGGTCAGCCAGCCAGCCAGCCGGCGATGATTAACTTGATGGTGTGATGCTTCTTACCATCTATTAGTGCAGGGAGATGGGATCCATTTGCTCAGTTGCCACCACGACTTACCCTTCCCACTTCCTTCCTCCCAGTTAAAGTGGGTGTTTAAGATTTTCCGTATCATCACTCACCTTCAACGGGACCAAGTGTTCTCGACACGTTAACTTCCTATTACTACCTTTACTACTGCCAACACGTAATTCGCCATGGCCTAGAATAGAATGTCTTCTTAAATGCAATGCAGCATTTTCGAGTGATTAGTCTTTCGTCACCAGAACCACATTTTTTAAGCCATGTGCTTCTGGGCAGTGCAGTCTCCTATTGCACACCGCGTCCTCTCTAGATGCTCTTCACGAAACCATGCGGGAAATTTCCGCAACTACCTCTTTGGAACCGACTTCAACTGAGATTCTATGCGACGAGGGTGGGGGAACCGAAATAGGAAGTGAGCACAATAAAGAAGGCCGCATTGATAGCCTATGCTTAGTAATGCGTATCCCTAAACAATCTCACGATTTTTGCAAGTTTCTTTCAGCTACGTCAAGTGTTGCAGCGAGCTGAACCGAAAACCGCAGTCACTTTTTGATCAGCAGCTGGAAATGTACGAGTTCTAGTATTTTTTTCTTGGTTTCCAGAAATTAAGGCCAAATCTCTTATTCTATAATTGTTTGTGTAAGACTCCGCCCTTGCACTTCCTCTGGGTGGCATGGGCTGTGGGCCATACCAGTAGCTTCCAACCTTGCTGTATGTCGGCGATGCATATTTTGTCCCAGTGTCATGCCCTATTTGTCCTCAGGAAAGACCTGCGACGCTACATTAACAGCATCGGAAGGCAAATCCGATCCCATCGGACAACCGATCTGATTTCTTTTGCTCACTACTACACCTAAAGGTAAAAAAAGGACATATTCCGTGGATGGGCGAATTGTGATGACCCCCAACAGTAGGGTCGAAAATGGTGTCAACCCCCGTAAAATCCCCTGATTCCGTGTTCCTAAGGAAGACCATTAACAAGTGAAGTGACACTAGCCGTGAACCTCCTGAAAAAGCTTGCTACGATCCGCCTACGTTACTTGCATGAATATGTCAAGGAAGGTGACACGCTTTGCCTCCTCCACCTCTCTACTGGCTAGATATAACCAGGTATCACTGAAGTGAGAAATAGTACAAGGGGGAAAAGATGAGAAGCCTTGTCCCCGCGAAACTACTGAAACACTTCTGCTTTTAGGTCAGTATTCTTGCCACAGCTTATCCCCCCTTGTCCCACTGCAGTACCCAAGCAGGACGAATTTTTGAATTTAGTTTAATTACCGAGAGACATCAGTGAAGTTGCAATCCAATATCTTCTGAGTTGCATGGCAATCCAATGGCTGGTACTGTTGCTTCGTGGGTGCTTTGTTTTTGAAACACCGACTACGTTGTGATGGCCGACGCTGGAGGTTGGCCAATAGGGCGCCAAAGAGGGCACTCAAAAGTGGAGAGGAGCTGCGCAATGCACTGTGTTTGTTCAACCCTCAGTTTTGGTAAAGGGGCACTTTGATGCTTCGCTATCGTGCCCTAGCTGGGCGGCCTGTCCTCTGGACCACGCTTATAGCCCAAGCTCTTCTTTCGATAGTAAATACATATTCTGCTTAAGCATTGTCTTCTTTCGTCTCCAGAGAAGTCTTGGGGCTCTACAAAGCAATATTTCTTTTATTATGCTTAACTGGAATGTGATTTTGCATCATCCAATATCTCAAATTTCTTCGGAGATGATATAAAGCAAATCAGAAAGTGGGATTATAATAGTGCATTAAAAATTGTGGTACCATTATGCAAAGAAGGTAAATTCAACGGAGCGTATTCAAGCATGAAACTTTGAAGTATTTCTATTCGAAATAGGGTATTTTCAAAATCCGACAGCTATTTAGGAAAAACGCTCCTAAATTCATGAAATCTATCCGAAAATTATTAAGTATTTAAATAGCTAAAGTCCCTTTAAGTAAAAGAATGTTAGTCATTGAATTGCATATTCCACTAATTTTCATTTTGCAAAGAAAAATTACTACATTCTTTTAGAAAAATCCCAACAACTACGCTATTTTTCTCTTTTAGGAAACAACTGCTAAAGCTATCACTTGGAGGTGCACTCATTTATTCTGACAACTAGTTGGAACTTTCCATACCAAGTCGTAGAGGGTGAACAGTCCCCATCTGGTCGATTTGCCTCTCAGGAAGAAGAGGTAGCGATGTCCTCAAGCCGAAAGTTGCCTTTTGAAATAAGCAAGTGAACGGAAAACCCAAAGTTGTCGATCAACCAATCAAATTCGAGCTACCGTAGGATGAGGGGTATAAATAATGAGGCGGGTGGCGAAGGCTATTCTCGAGGAAGTCTTACAACCTCTTTTTGGACCGAAATGACCTCATACTGTGCAGTCTTTATGGTACCTCTCCTCACCCTTCTGATACTCTGGGGCCATCTGCCGGCGTGCGAGTCGACTCCACTTCCATCAGAACTCATCGTCAGACGGGGTCGAACACTCCAGGACCTATGTATGTGTTTTCCACTGTTGTTGTTAGTTGAAAACAAGTTGATTATTAGAAAGGAAGACTTGAGCTAGGTTTATATGCATGTAAGTGGGAGTCAAAAGTTTAAGTAAATATCTACTTACTTTGCTTAAATTGGGCCGATCCAAATTTCATATAAAAGTGAGGTTTGGTGCTCAGAATTGCATCCACTTTCTAGTCCTTCATCAAATCCCGACATTCTTTTGACGTTTAAAAGAGACGTTAAGCGTTCGCATTACCCATAAATCTTTGGACCATTATTCCTCTCTAGTGGGTAGCGATTCCTTGCCTTCGGGATTTCAAACTGCCGTAGTTGTCTACCACCGTAACAATTTGTTTACGTAAGCAGTTTTTACGCAGGAAAGAAGAAATATACAGGCTAAAATATTTTTATGATCTGCAAATAAGAGTGTCATACTAGGTTACCACTGTAATCCCTATCTAGCAAATGGCGCTTCAAAGCAGCACTCCTAATTCGGTGGTTTTGTCCCCTCAGGAAGCCGTTGTAGAAATAAGATTTAAGAAAGTTTTATTGAATCGAATGAGAGTGCGTTCCTGTCAGTGTATTCTTATTTTAAGGATTCATGGTTTTTAACGTATTTTTTCAAATATTTAAGGCCATTTGGTGAGCCTCCCTGAAAAGGTCAGGTATGTGGTTGCGCTCCGTAACACTGAGCCTCCAGCACCGACCAAACTGCTTTTTATCGGTACTTAACGCCCCACTTTCTTAGAGGCGATGGTGAATTCATTTTTCTCTTCTACTTTTTCGCGACTTTTGGCTATATTACGAGAGTTTCAGTCAAATAGTACTGGTCTTGAAATAGATGTTCCACGTCGTTGGGAGCCGAGTCGTAACTTGGCCAGTGCTACTAAGGAGTCTGAAGTGTGTACGACAAACCGGTCCCGTCTGTAATGCAGTGCGCACTTCTGGACTTCCCTGAGGACAATTTCCGTGCAGAATGTTTTACCGACCTACAGAGGGTCTTGGGAATTCTAACATAGTCAGGAGGGCGGGCTACTCGGCTGGGTACAATGGTGGAGCCCCTAAGCTTCCTGCTACCAAAACCGAAAGATAAACAAAATATTATAGTGTTTTACAAATAAGGGGTACCTTGTATGAGCTTATTTACATTTTCTTAGATCGGTACGTACAGCAACAATATTTGATGTGTCTCAAGTGTCCCAACTGCCCATGTGAAACTAGTAAGTGACTTCACTTTACCTTTTCTTTGAAAGTAAATAAAGATTTATAAGTCTGAAACGTAATTATGAATACTTTACCTATTGTTAGTAATGAATAATCGCAAATAGAGCACGTAAAACAATAATACGTCTTGAATGCTGTCTTTAAAGTAAACGCAGAACAAACTCTAAACAGATTCAAGTTATGTACCAAATCAAACGATAAGCAGGGATATTAAACGCACTTTAAAGTGCGGAATGATGTAAAAATTGACATTTCCAAAGTACAATTTGTAGTAATGCGCTAACATTATTGCGTATGATTTTCAGAGTTCAACATAAGAAGACGATCTGGAGGCATCAATTGGCCTCAATACATGAATGCAAGTGGAATGACAGCAAAGAATATGGAAGAGGCTCTAGACGACTACTAGAGGGAGCACCATGAATGAGGCAGTGCTCTTTTGCATAAGTAAATAAAACGCTGTCTGCACATCAAGATACTCTCTTTTCAAACATTAATGCTGTGTGCCAAGGGTCGTTGCAACTTCAACTCCACGGTCAAGTGTTCTTCGAGAACGTATCCAAGAATTTTGAAATTCTGTGATCCTTTATTTAATAGCTAGAAAAATTATTAAATCATTGCCGTGCAAAGCCACAGATTTGCTGTTTACTGAGGTGTTTGTTTTCAGGGAGGTAGTTAAGGTCAAATGCATTTGTCCCCTTGGATAGGGGAGGCGAAGGCGGTGATTTAATGCCAGTCTGGAACGTGTTATATGATGATACCCTCCGAATGGAATGCTTGCTCAATGATAATGTGCCACCATATTGTTCTGACAAACGCAGGTATTTGCTTCGTAGAGCCAGAAGAATAATGCCCACCCCACCACAAATGGAGTTTTCAGATTGAATTGTCACAAAAGGATAGTAATTTATCACTTTTAAAGAGAATACTACCAGCCATTGCTCAATCATAGAGACCGCTTCATTAATCTACTTCATAGGTGTTGGCAAAATTAGGAATACAAAGGAAACAGCAATTTATTTCCTAGGTTTGAAGGCAATTACCATCACCCAAGCTTTACAGCTTGGAACCCCTGCCATTCTTCCCTTTTCCACCTCTGCCTTCGCGTTTTCCGCTACCACCTCTGCGTTTTCTCGCTTCTTTTCGAGAGGGAGGTGTTTCCGGCTCCGGAGCTGTGGTTGTGATTGTAGTTGTGGTTACCTCGCTAGCAGTCTCCTCTTCCTCCTCCTCCTCTGCCACGTCTTCCTCCTCTTCTACCTCTTCCACCTCCTTCTCCATCACAACTTCCTCCAGTTCAGCGTTCTCCTCAGTAGTAGCGGGGCCATCCGGATACTCATAGCATTCTGTCTTGGAACAAAGGAATTTGCATTTGGAGTCAGAACAGCCGTAGCCATCAAAGCCCGTTTTGGAGCACGTGATATTGCTACAACCGGGGAAAGAGAAGATCCTGTCAGCCTCCTTTAGAGATGTGGTCTGGATGTTCTTTTCAATCTCAACACTTATTGGCTCTTCATGGACCTTTTCTGATCCCTCCTCTTCTTTCTCATCCCCTACCTCACTACTATGTTCGATTTCGTATTCCTCCTCATATTCCTCTCCATCCCCTTCATCATCTTTGTAGCCCTTCTCGTACCCATATTTGTCTTCCTCATCTTCTTCCTCCTCCTCTTCTGTCGCTTCATCTTCGTCGTAGTATTTAGGCTCATATTTGTCGTACTCACCCTCGTCCTCTTCATCGGATTCGCTATCATGGTCTTCGTCATAGGCTGCTTCTTCCTCCCCAGTATCTTTATGTGGCTCTTCTGCGCTTTTGGCATCATAATCCTCCTCATATGGGTATTCCAATTTGGATTCTTCCTCTGAAACTTTAACCGACGGTTGTTCATCAACGGGTTTGGGATATTCAACCGGATTAACTTCCTCTTTCTCCTTTTGCACGCCTTTGCTTACCCTTCCATAGACTACCTTTCCCACCGTTGCTTCTTGCTGCACGGCAGGTCGGCTGCTCTCTTGAAGTTTCCTTGAGTTAAGGAATTCTCCTTCCGCATTACGGCCGCCATCCGGCGTTTTGAAGTACACTGGGAAATATTTTTCAGAAAATCGCCTGGTCGGTTTGTACTCCTGGCCACGATACTTATAGGGTCGAGCTGCAGTTGCAGCAACGACGAGAAGACAAAGAATGCAGAACTTCATACCGTTGCTCGTTCGATGGTTGCTTGGGTTCCTCCATGAAGGGTGCTTTTATATACGTACAATCCAACGATTTATCGTGTTTGCTCTTCTGCACTCAGCGTGGGGCGACTACAACTGCGCGCTTTGTTAACCTTCGAAAGGTCATGTAAAATAGTTAGCTGTGCATCCGAGTGCATGTGACCAGATTAACAGGTCAAATAAACCAATCTACGGCTCGCAAATCACTTAGTTATTTAAAACCAAATAGTAAAAGTGAAACTGACATATGACGAATGGAATACGCGGATTGTGTTCTCGGGAGTTTGCCATTGGGTTTCAGTAGTGCTAATTTTACTGTCAGTTCAACTTTCCTTGTGCACATTACCTGCATAAAGAAGAATGTCTTAATTACGACAAAGCTAGGCTTTTTGATACTCGTGGTAGTAGTACATGAATTACTTTTTTAACTCTCAGCTTTGATCAAAGACCAATTAGGGGCTCGACCATTGCACTTCCGACGGGCGGCATGGCCTCTGGATCATGTCAGTAGCCCCCAGACCCTTCTGTACGTCGCCAATACATATGTGGACATATTATGCCCCCTTTTGTCTAAAAGGCAGTCTCGGAGCGCTGCATATTTCAACCTCTTATGAATGGTTTTTACTCGCGTGCTTTAAGAGCCATTATTAAGCCTTAAAATATCCATCACAATTATTTGGAATGGTTGGTTGTAACGAGAGAATGGGTAAGACCCAGTAGTGTTGGAAGTTTCTGCTTTCTTAATCCAAAAGAGACAACGGGAGCAATATATTCTCACAGTGGTTTTCATTACCATAGCTAGAACCTTAAGGAGTACTCCTTGTATATGCTTTGCTGTAAAGCGAAGCCAAGGTGGCTAGAAATACCGCTTTACTACTAAACTATTTTTGG